GGGGGAAGGCGGGAGAGACATCTGGGCTAGCACTGGCTATAAGACATTTAAGAAACAAACAAGACAAATAAAAAAAAAAAAAAGGAAAATAGAAGGAAAAAAATACAAAAACAAAAACACCCATGATTCCTCCCTAATATTCAAGCTTCCGTTTTGTGAAGTGCAATCACTTCTGAGGGGTTTGTTTTCAGGTCATGTCACAGAACCTAATTAGCATCCTTCCTCTCATTGGATATCTTTTTGTTGGATTATTCCACGAAATAGACGTTGGATTCTGCCGAGGTTGGGGTTTGGTTTGTTTTTTAATATATATATATACACTTTTTTTTTCTTACAAAAATAAATTTAGGAATTTTTTTTAATAATAATTTTTCCCCATAGAAGTTGGTTTCAACTTGTAAACATGTTTCGCGTTTGCTTTTTAAATTAAGATAAAGTGATTTCGAAGTACCCGTTCCATCGCAAAGTGCTAAGACTTCTTGGTTGTTTTTTTTTATGTTTTTTTTTAAATAATGGTTTTTTTAAATTTTTATTGCTTTTTCTGCATTAAATAAACATCCATCTTTCTCTCCCCGACACCCCCCACCCTCCCCTCCCTTCCCCAGTTCACACACTCCCCTCTCACTCCCTCTCCAGTTTACATTCGGCCAAACCTGCTCTCACTTTAAAATTAAAATAAAATCTAAAAAGTGCTTTCAAAATAAAAGGACTAGAATCTCTTTTCATTTTGAACTGTGCATTTAAAAAACAGGAGAATGGCTGAAAGGTGCCCTTTCTAGACTCTGCTAAGCTGAGGAGCTGGGTAATACACACCAATATTTACTTTATATCTGTATTCTTGACTCTCTATATAGCTGGGGAATAGGGATTGATTGAGACTGACCCATGTAAGATGTTTCAGATCACAGGGCTGGGACTGGCTAGCAACCACCAACAACCCTCAGTGTCCACATGAGGGCACTGGACCCCTTTACCTGTCCCGGAAGAGTTAAAGGGGTACAAACCCTCTCATGTGGATGCAGTTTACTGGTAGAAAGAGGCTTTTACCAGTGTTGCTTATTTCCCTTCTCATATCTTTATACTGGTATCATTGTATCCACAGTAGGCATTGTACTGGTATAACTATTTCAGTCAAAAGTCACACCCGTACCTGAAACAGTTATACTGGTACAAAACCCTGTGTGTGGACCAGACCGAAGCCCCCATTACAGTGGGAGTAATTTACAAGCCACTTTCAAGGTCTTTTTGTGCGATTGTAAAGGCCTTGGTGTAACCAAGCATTAGGCCCTGAACCCCTTCACGTCAAGGAGTCAGTGGCCTGCGATTCTGATCATCTCACACACAGGTCACGCCCGCATCTTTTTGGGACTGAAACCGGGCGCTGGGTGAAGCTTCGGGCGCTCTCCTAGTAACCACAGCAAGGAAAGGACAACGGGACTTGAGGTGCGGTCAGCCCCGGTGCCCGTCTCCTCCACCCCACCACGTTAGCTCTGTGCACATCCCCCGGGCCAGTCTTTCAGTGCCCGCTATTCAAATAAATACATTCCGCTTTGCCTCTGCAGGACAGTAAATACATTGGTGCCAGTCTGATGGAGAACTACCCCTCCCAGAAGCCTGTGCATTTATTGACCCAGCCTGAGGTCCCCAGAGGAGATAAATTCCAAACCCCAACACCAAAGCCTTTCAGGGAGACCTTAAATAACCCTTTAAAAAAAATCCCCAAAAAACTCAAGTTTTACCTGCTTTTAGGGTGCTCTCATTTGATTCCTAAAATCTTGGGGGTTACCCTGCTCTGAGAGATTCTTTTACTTAATAGAACCATCTAATGAAGTGCTTTGAGATCTTGGGGTGAAAGTTGCTGTAACAAGTGCTAAGCGCTTGGTCACATGGCCGCTGTCCATTCCATGTCAGGGTGGCAAAAGACTGAACGCCCCATCTTGTCAGTTGCTGATCATTAACTCCCAGCAGGCCCAAAGATAAAGAAGAATCCTGCCATATCCCAGATGGGGGGCTCCAGCTTCAGCTCTGGGGAAGGGGAGTATCTGAGAGTCTGACTCAACAGGGAGGATTGAATAATTGCTGCGTCTTGAAAGGCAAGGTTCGGATTCAGGAGGCAACAGTCCGATCTAGCAAAAACCTACCTTCCACTCCTCTCCTATTGGGACACAATTTGCCAAGCACGGGACCAGGCAGTAAGTCATCAAAGTACAGAACTAGCCCATTCCATCTGAGGTTGCCTGGAATTTGACTCGATTGCTCAGGTTCCGGCCCGATGCAGGGTTTGCAGTGTGCTGGGGAGAGAGAAGTTTGGTAGCCACAAGGCTATCTTACTAAAACAGGGCCTTTAATGCTACAACACATTACAAATTATATATATGCCGCACTCATGGAAATGCAGCCACCTCTGGGGTGGAGGACAAGAGTGAGGCATAAACATGTGCTGCCCAATGGGTGGGTGAGGGGGAACGTTGGCCAAGGGCTCTGCAAACATCCTCAGGAAAAGGGCCCCAAAGATCTTTGCACAGAGCAGACAGGGCTGCCGTTTTTGTCCAAGAGACCCTCACGTAGTAACCCCTAACCGGCCAGTTCATCTGCCGAGAAGGAGTTCGCACCTTTATCGCAACGTGCACACCCTAGATCTCAAAGCACTTCCCAAACCTCACACAAAACAGCATTTGCCTCATTTTCCAGCTGAGGGAGCTGCGCCCCGGAGAGGGAAAACGACTTGGCCCAAAGTCACCCAGCAATTCTGTGGCAGAGCCAGGATTGAACTGCCTCCCAGTCGGGGATGAAGCGCCAATCTAAACCTCCCGGGGAGAGTCGCAGTTTCACCTGGCATCTAGGCAGCTCGGAGCAGCCTTGCAAAATTCTGTTCGCCCACCTACATGGCAGGAGCAATCATTCTTAAAAAATGAATATGTAAAATATCATCAGTTCCCCCCCCCACCCAATTATCATTATAAAAATTGTGCACCAGGCGAGTTCAGCCAGCTTTGCTCAGCATCAGGCCAGAAAGGATCTGAACTCCCTACGGCAGAATCAAATCCCCGATCACCAAAAGACCGTCTCAGGCCTCAGAAGCTCTCACTTTCCAATGGAGAGAAAGCTGCACTCAATTCTTTCCCATCCAGTCAGACGGAGGCACGGAATGTAGTGACTGTCCAGGAAGAACCTATTCACCTCTTGGAATTGTTCTGGTTTTTTTTAAATAGATGCATCTCTGCCGTTTTTTAAAGTGTGTCTGGACACAAAATAAAGCTTTGGATTTGCATGGACGCTTCTTTCCATGTTCTAGACCAACCTTTCAACCCTCCCGATCTCACACTTCCTAAGCATCGGCCTTCCAACGAAAGGTCCTTAGCTATTCGAGGTGTCCCCATGGGACTGGTTATGGTGGGAAGATTGGAAACATATATATATATATATATATCTTTTAAAAAGGGAGAGAAATATTTTAAAGAGAAATCGGAGGAAAGTACTAACTAGATTTTGTGACACTTTTTTTTTTTTTTGGTTTAGGAGAGTCCTTGTGTTTTACCCTCTGACGACCCCTCCGCTACATTCAATCTTCCTGGTGCTTCATTGTTAGAACTATCTTCAAAGTGCTGCTCCTGGCCATTTTTCTGCTCGGTGTCCTCCTGTGATTCTTGTCTCTCGCCACCAGCTTCGAAGCTTCCGTCTTCGGGGTTCCCTGCGGGGGCGGGCAGGCCGCTCACATCTCTGACCCGGGGCTTGCGCCCCCTTCTGGATGGGATGCCGTTGCACCCATCTTTTTTAAGGTGCCTGTGCAAGTGGTCGGATCGGACGAAAGTCTTGAAACAGCTGTCGCACTGGTAAGGCCGCAAGCCAGTGTGCACACGCATGTGGTTCTTCAAGTCGTAGTTGTGAGCAAAAGCAGCCCCGCATTGCTGGCACAGGTAAGGCTTTTCACCTGTGTGCTTCCTCATGTGAACTTTCAGCTTGTCCTGCCTGCACGGGAGAGAGAGACGGAGTCAGGGAGGGGGCGGGAATTCTGCGCCTGAACGCGGTGGGCGGGGTGGGCGGAGCCTTCAACCCCACCACACAGCAACCCTCCCACCCCCAGACACATGGTGACTGGGGGAGCCCTGTACGTTCAGCACCATGATCCCTCGGGGCTGGTTGTGCTAAGGGCTGGGAGATTTCCCACAGGGAGCGAGCTGACTCAGCCCTGCGAGAACGGGCTATGGAACCTTCCCCTAGCAGAGGGGGCCACCGCCTGGTGTGAGCTGGTGGCCGAGCGTCCACGTCCCCAAACTTCCCACTAGAGTTAGCCGCACGTGAACCACGTGCTGACAGTTCCTGCAGCAAGGCCGTGGAGATGGCCCTGCGACTGGGGCAGAGCGTGGGTCCATCCAGCCCAATACCCTGTCACCTACTGCGGTCGACATCAGCCGCTTTCGAGAATGGTTCCACAACTCCCCTTCCCCGCCTCGACAGCTACGGGATACCCAGTCCCCCGGGAAATTTTCTCCCAACCCCTTAGTTAGGGTCTGGCTCCGGCTCTGACAGAATTTAGATCCCTTCGAAAATGTTTCGTAGGTCCTTATAACGCCGCCTATCCCCGTTCCCCTGGTAAGCGTGAGCGTGTCTGGCAGTGACAGACGCCTCCGTCATCAGCGCTAATCTTCACAAACAAACCACACACACAACTTCCTGGAGCTGCCTGCTTATCCTGGTGGGGCTTCGGGGCACGGTTTGTGCGGTGTCGGACAGCAATCTAGCACAACGGGGCCCTATCCCATGCCGATGATAAATGAGGGGAATATACACTGGTGAAAATTCTGCTGCGGACTAGAACGAGCCAACGCAATGGCGGAGCTTTTCCGAACATTTTTCGGAAGAACTGAGGGGCTCGGGATGAGTCAACAGCTGGTCTTTGAACAGGCCCCAAAAGGGGAAGAAATCGGCAGAGGTTTCGAAAAGGCCACCCTGCAGGTTCGCAATGGGTTAAGCGGTTATTGCCTTAGCTCCAGTTAAAGGAAGATTGTTTAAGCCCAAAATGGAATCATCACTTGAAAAATAAAAGGGTTTCTTAAAAACCAAATAGTAATAGAATTTTTTTTAACGATTTTATGATTCCCCCCCACCCCCCCAACATTCCTCACTGGGCTAGTGCAGGAAACCCAGAAAATGAAATTGACTAGAAACTAACGTCAGATTGACTAGCCCGGTGCAATTCTCCAAGCTGAAAGAAAGGGAAACAAACAGCATAAATGGTGATGAGCAAACTAGATTATTTCCAAGTGCCCGTTTTATTAATCTAGGGGGTTCTCAGAGAGGCAGTCGGTAGGGCACGGCGCTGGCATTCAGGGGATTAGGGTTGTATCCACAGTTCTGCTGCTGACCCCCCCGTTCTGTCCGCCTGGCCTGTTTAAACTGTGAGCTCTTTAAGGACTGTCTCTCACCCTGTGTCTATAGCGGGCCCTGCATAACCGGATCCCTGATCTGTTAGCAGCTGTCATAGTACGGACAATTTGTTATTATTAATTATTACTGTTAGCACAGATAAGGACCTTTCTTTTTAACAGATGAGCTTTAACCTGCCCCGTCTCTTTAACTAAGGGAGTGGCGAGGCGGAGCGCAGGGGAAGCTGCAGGAGGCATGCACAGGAAAGCACATGGTGACTCAGCACCCATAGGGGTTCATGGGAAATCCAGGCTGCCGCCCTGAAGGTGGCATCACTCAGGAGGTCAAAGGGAAGGCAGCAGAACCCAGCTGCTCTCCCCACCTTCATTTGAAAGGAAGAACCACAATAAAAACCAAGAGACACAAATGTTCCTGGGCTGGCTGGACCAACCCCCCAGCCTTCGGGACCCCACGCTGAGCAATGAAACGTCTGGCAAAGACCGACAGGCACAAGTCAGACGAGCAGAGCAGGAGGGGAGCGCCGACACGTCAGGATTTCTTAGCATTTCTGAGGTCAACAAACTGCAGTCGTAAACAGAGGGTGGAACAGCAGGTCTTCCTGGGACAGCTGTGACATTGGGTCTGCAATTAAAGGGCATCTTTGCTACCGGGAGACGGCCCAGGCTATAGATGTCCTGATTTCGGGGGCTGATGTGGCCACAAACGGGCGTCCTGGATTTCAGTCTGGAAACTTGGCCTAG